AAGAGAGGGTGGCTCCAACTGAGAAAAATCACTTGCCATATTTGATTGAAGACAAGTTAGAGCATTTCTAAGCAGTGATGCAACTATATACATTTTGTCCACAGAACCTAAGCTAATTTTTAGGTTCTTCTTAAAATCAAGGAATTTAAAGTAGTTTATAATGTCACCAAAAATCCACTCCACTGATATTCTCACAGCACTCATTGACTTATTGAATTTTTCCATTGGCATGGTTAGTGGTAGGTTTCGGTATGGTGCTTGCAAATAAATGCGCAGAGGATATGCGGGATCTCCATAAAGGCACATGGATTTTCCATTCCAATGAGCAAACTCTTCAAGGTCATTTAGAAGTCCTGACTCAGCCTGCATGGCAGAATCATGCCTTCTTCCTTCTAAGAGAAAAATAACTCAGTTTGTTTTTTAACAGAATTTACCCTTGACATTGCATTTACCTATTTGTCCAAACATGTTTGCAATTATTCCATTTGGAAGTGTAACTGATTGGAACTTAAGAGCATGGACCCTCTTGTGACCATTGTACAATATTCGCTGCATTTCACCTGGTCTACAAATCTGCCTTAATGTCCCATCAATGAAACCAAAGCAATTATCAAGAGCGGCTCCTTTTTGACGGATGGTTTCAGCATAAATCTTCAGATTTTCTAGGCTGAGCAACAGGTGATTCCAACTGGTTATTTTGTCGCCATACCTCTCAAAAATGTAATCAACAACGGTATTCATGATCATGCTGAGTTCTGGAACAGACCTTCCAAACTGCGGTACTAGATCACTGTATCTACATGGATAAGCGAACCGACAAAGGACAAGGCAGAGAGCTTCCAGCCCACCACAAACTGTTCCTTGTTTACATTTGAAACGATGAGGAAAATCTAACGCTTCAGCCAGCAAAGGAATTTCGTGTTTCTTAAAACGAAAGTCTACAGCACATGTAACTTCATCAATTTCCTCCAAATCAAAAGATGAATAGCCGCCATGTTTTAATTCTGGGTTCTTTGAACGCGAAATATCATACAAAAGCGCAAATTCTTCTTCGTTTATCAAAGCGGCGTCAAACGCAACATCTATAGCATTTCTTGTTTTTTTGAAGGGGGCCATTTTTTTGAAAGTAACGATAGTGAACTCACAAGCTCGCGTCGTTAAGGAAATCCAATCTTAATGACTTAACTTACAATGACACGCGGACGCATTCGCACCAGGCCATGCGCGCCAAACACGTGTCGTTGTAACGCACGTCGTGAAATCTTACGGTCCCTAATCTCAAATGCGGAACGCAGAGGGAATGCCTCTATAAGTACTTTACGATGTATAGCTATAATCTGAAATTGAACGTCTTCTTCACGCTGGAGCAACAAATCGTGACCGGGATTTTATCATTCCTGCGCAATGCATTGCGGTGTATACCAAACCCTCCCCTTACTAAGTTGAGCTTGCTGGAGGTGAAAAAAACCAACCAAGCGTAAAAGAGCTCTATGCCTTGTTCGAGGGCCACCCTGAGCTTATCAATGAACAGTCTGTCCTGAGCGCGGTCAAATCCAGGTTGCTGATCTATTCTGAAGATACAGGTCAGGTTCGCGACAGCGTCGCTGATGTCCGTTTGAAAAACTAACTCCTGGCGGGCACTACAACCGCGCCTTCTCTTCAGACTCGGAAATAGGGGGAGTTCGATTGTCTGTTGCTGCTCGTCTTTGGCTGCTTTCTGGCGTGCCAGAAGATTCTCGAGGCCTTTCTCAAAAGAAACTATTTCACTCCGCGTGCGCAGCTGGTACAATTGTTTACGGAAAACCCTCAAGGGTTTGAAGCAAATCTCAGGGAGCCTCAGGCGGATCAGGGTATGCGTCTTTCCATCGTGGCTGACTATCGCGTGCTTGTGAATAACGTAAACTGACAGTTTCTCAGCAAGTATCCCTTTGAGGTGGTCGCTAACGTCGTACTCGACTTAAGTCATCCCCAGTTTCGCCTGGCGAGGCAGAAGTTCCAGGAGATCAAACAGCATGCTATTGCGGTACCGGGGTCAGGATAGAAGTTCGGTAATTTGGCGGCCTTGCTTGAGACCTACTCCAAAACACTGGAGAGCAAACTTATAAATTATGATCGTCATTTTATGCCTGAAGACGTCTGAGGGAAGATGACTAGTGATGCCGCCTTTATTAATGCACTCCTCATTAACGGGAGCTGCATCATTTGAAAGTGTCTTGCTATATTGAACGCTCGAGGCTTTGTTTGAATGTTTCATGGACATGGCATCTTGGGCTACCACTTGGGATAAGACGGCGGCTGCTTCGGTGATGAGTGAACAGGAGGAGCAGCTTGCTCGTTTGCAGGATGATGTGGTGCAAAACAAACGAAAATTGAGAATGAGGATACCGAGGGCACTCTCTCTCATACTGTCGCGCAGCTGAAGGTAAACAAACTCAACCTTTATCGCGTTGATGACCGTTTGCGTGGTTTACCGAGAATTGTTACAGGAACGCTGCCTGATCTCGTACGACAGGACGTTGTGGTGTCGCAGTTTGGGTAGGGAGCGAATCTGAAGAATGGCAAGATACAGATTCAGAGTCTTGGATTGAGCGGGCTGAAAACGAGCGGTATCATATGAGCAACGGTAAACTGCGAGAGGCTGGGGTTGGAACTTCCATCTCTTTATGCCGTGGTCCCGCGGGAAGTCTCGGACAACCGGGGCACGTACGGATACAATTGGAGACGTACCTATAGGATGTATTATCTTGAGTTCCCCTGATACATATCATCAGCATGGAGTTAGATTTGTCCATGACCCAAGCAGTCGAGATTTGGCTCCAGGCAAGGAAACCTCCTGTGACGAATTTAACGCGTTTCCGCTGCCAATACAATGCCGAGCAAGATCTACTGAGCTCGATCTTTGTATGGGAATACGCTTTCGAACGCCCCACCCGTACGCAGCTGGAGACCGTTCTCACCCAAGCTCAGGCCATGAAGTGGGTTGAGTATCGTCGTTCCGATGGCGCTGTAAGGAGAGTGTGACGCCCTCCGACGCGTATTACTCTGCAGGCGGAGAGGGGGGCCGGCGGATGGTCTCCGCTTGGCCCGGTTCTCAGCTTGAGTCGACTGCTTCGCATGGGGATTGCGGCTCCTGCAAACGATGCTGCGACAGTCCGGTTGAAGGTGATAGATGTCGAGAAGACAACTTTCGAAGTGCGCAAGCCACGCGGGCAGGTTTCAGCCTTCACAGTTTTCGACTCTGCATTATAGGTTAACGCAGTGGCCATTATTGGTATTTCTTCAACAGACGCTACCGATGGTTTTATAGTGATATTGCTATTTCAGCAGTATGACATCGTGTGAGCCTTCCGCACCCCCTTCTTCACTTCCGGTGTCGACGGCGCCTCTCTATCCTTCGCTGCCTACTGCGAGCGATGCCGGAAATACGTACCGATTACAGAAGATTTCAAAGGTCGAAGTTCACTTGCACACGGAAATAGAAGCCCGCCAAACGCTCTACAAAAAGTACAAAAGAGCTGTGAACGGGTTAGACGGCGCGAGCAATGCCCTGTCTGCTATCACTGTGGGCAGCGCTGTTAGCGGAGTTGCCGTACTCAGTACCGTCCTCTTAACTCCTTTTGGTGTCGCGCTCGAAGGCCTAGCAGCTGTTCTGTTTGCGTCAAGTTTTCGCTGGTCGTGTCGTAAGCCGCAGATTGGACAAGAAAGCTGAAAAACACGATCGCATTCGGACGTCCGCTGAGACCGTGCTCCTAACAATTTCGCTGATCACGAGCCGAGCGCTTTGAGATGGCAACTGCAGCGAAATTGAGTACCAGCTCGTTCTGGACGAAGTAGAGCGTTTAGCTTCGTTGAAAGACGACATTGGAAGCCAGACAAAGAGAGATTTCCGCGAACAGACGCAAAAGCTTGAAAGACAGCTGGACGCTGCACGTGCGAGCGGGCGTGATGAGGGCATTCAGTTCGGGCGCATGGACGCTCTGAAAAAAATCCAGCGTCGAGTGGCGGATGGCAATTCACGCTAGACATAAACTTTGTGCGCCATTGACAGTGTTGCATAATCTTGGTTTTTTAGTTTTCACCACCCCACCCACGCCAGGGGCTACAGACCGAAGCTGTGATCATAATCAATCACTACGGTGAACACCTCTTTTGTTTGCGAGGGAAAACCTGTAGTTGAATAAAACAATGTGTATGAAATGGCGTCAGTGGCATGGAGTGTTTGGCATGTCAAACTGGCGCTATGAGCGTCATGAATCTAGCCGAGCATTTCAAGTGTCGGCGGCATAATCGTGCGTGGTTGGATGGCAAAACTATGAAATTCGTTTGCCACTTGTGTTTACGACAGCGGTGCTGTAAGCTGCGGGGATGGGGAATGGCAATGTAAGCATTTCGATTCGCATGGGCACCGAGAAAAGCTAGTTGAGGAGCTGATGAGATTTAGGGGGTGGCCACACCGCTTCCTCCGGGCTGCTCCCGGGGAACTGCAACGGTAATTTGTTCTTGCGAAGGAGCGAGTAGATGCTCACCTCCGCATGTTGGACTGGGTCCTCGAGGGGAACTCTCTTGACGAGTACTAACTAACTATCACATCAGAACTAATAGACCCTGACGGCCGGCCGCGCGGATGCAGGGTGTGGGCCGGCCGTCATTGGCTCCTGCTGTTGTCCTGGGTTTGACCTTCAGTGTAATTATGCTAGCATAATTACAAGAAGTACGTACGCGACCTAGGGCTGGGGCGCTTAAATTTGTGCATACTCCTTCTCAAACTGTGAGGTATTCCAGAAACGACGCTTTCTTAAGTTGAAGTGCGCCAGCGGCAACGCTCTATTTACTTCTTTATACGTGGTCAATGCTCTACTTCAATCATTTGATATATTTGTCAACCCTTTATTTGACAGTGTAGCCGATTTGCAGAAATTACCGAACAAAATATGAACAAACTTTTCAAAATGTTTGCTAAGTAAAGGTTACTAGGTAACATTACTTTGTTTCTTTTTTAATTTGCACAGATCCACTCTTTAAACAGACTTAACTTCTTCAGTTGAATGCCCATAAAATATTTAAAACTTGTCTATTATGTAAATAACATCATTGTGATAGCAAAGCGCCTAATATCATTTCAAGGCGTTTTTAAGTCCTTTGATGATGTCTCTGTATTTCAATCATGACTCGTGTATATAAATTTAACTATTATGGGTAAATACGAAATGTTGCATTTGTGCAAACTTGCCTATAGGATATATTAACTTATGTTCACGGTAACAAGCACAGGTAACAAGAAAGATTTAAGAGCAGAAGACTTTAATTATTTTATATTATTTATTAAATGAAGAAATCTAATAAAGAAATAAAAGGATAGTATTAACTTATCTGTCTACGACAATAACAAATATTGCTTTTTTTCTCAGACAATGTCTTCAACTTATCTCTGTCCTCAAATAATTATGACGATACGGCCAACAACAAAGAGCCAAATATCACGAGCGTTCGGTATCCTTCATATTACTGAATATCTCTAAATAATGATGATAATAATCTTTGCTCAAACTGTTCAGTGCTTATATACTGTCTGGAAGCTAGTTATAAGTATGACGCAATTTTCTTTTTATATATATGATATATGTGCTATATTTACATTACATGACGTAATGTCATTTGGAAATAGTTTATAATTATCTCAATAACGAAAAGAGAGTGATCATTTACAAAGCATAACTGCTGCATGACTTTTTATTGAAATAAATCACATTTAATGTTTTTGAATTTAAAGTTTACAGTGCAAGAGAGTGCAAGAGAATTTCTAATATGCTGATGGATGCGTTCGTATTATCTATATCTAAATATTTATTTGAAGAAATTATTAAATTGAAACAAGAATATGTCACCGGTATGTTAAAGCATAAAAGATCAGTTTATATATATACTGATACAGTTAGGTGAAATGTGCGATTTATTTACAAAAATATGACTCGTTTTTGTGAGAATGACAGGAGAGAAATACAATTAGGGTCATCAAAATCAAAGGAATCTGATAACACATGACGTTCCCAATGTTTGTCTGGACTATCCTTACATTTTGGTTGTTTAATCTAAATGTCTGATCGGACAAAAGAAAAGTAAGGATTGTCCAGAACTGGACTCAACTAAACTCGAAAGTTTTATGGATTATAATTGTTTGTGCAGTTCAAATATATCAATTAGAGAAATTTTAATGAAATTTATTTTGTAAAAATGTTGACGTGTTTAGAATATCGTTTTGTATGAACTCCTAATTGCAATGTTGCAAATCTTTCACGCCATCGGCTGTTGCAAAACGAAATTTATATATGTTAATGATGACGGGAGAGAAGTAAAAAACTGTTGTCATCGTTACCAAACCATTTGCAAGCACATGGCAAATCCAGTGTTTTTTCAAAATAAGCTTGATCTTGGTGCCTTCTTGCCAAATCAGAATTCTTGTTGAAAGACAAGCAAGTATAAACTCCATTAAAAGACCAACAAATAATCGAAGCAAACTTGATCTATCAAAAGAATATGACTGAAACGTGTCCATGCGATAAAAGATCGTATATAACTGAGCAAGGATCAGCATTTCAAATTGAAATAGGACTTCCTGAATGTAGATGTGAGCTTCTAATCGTCTGTTATGTTTTTCACATTATGGTACGGGTGTTATATTCAAACATTTTATAAGCCTTTTGAACAAATAGCTGCGACAGTTGCGTGTCAGCTGAAATAAGAGATGAATAATGTCATAAAACTAAACAAATACAATTCACATGAAAGTTTTTACATTCTATATACATATTGATTATTTTTGTTAAGTGACAGTAATAGAATTTATCTGACAGTTGGCTTGATTATTACTCCAGATACCTGTAGGTTATACGGAATTTTAAATTCGCCTGTGTTTTTTTATTTTTCTTCTGTGTCGTAAATTGGCAATTCTGCAGTAGCCCACTCGTTGCCTCTAACAAATATCCACCTAGCTATTCAGTATTGCTATATTATTAAGTGTGACTTATCAAAATTTTGGCAAATATACACCAAAGTTTTCAAAGTTTACGATTATGTTTCATCAGAATGATTACGGACTACGATAATAAGACACGTATAAAAAATTGATATAATCAATATAAAAAAATGAACAAATTTTATTTCAAATTTTTTTATCAAATTTTATATTAAATTGATATAACCAATTGCTACAGGGTGAAAAATTCTCAAATACCAGCTTAAAGAGCGTCGTCAAAGTAAAGTAAGTCAAGCTTCAAGCTCAATTCCACTTTGCAAGTTATGTGGAAAACAAATGTTTCACATTTACGTGACTTTATTTATGTTGAAGAGTCTGAAATTGTGCCTTGTTGTGCGATCATTTATCTTTACATGTTTGTAGATAAATGTTAATCGTCCAGAAACGCGGTGTTGGTGCTACATTTATAACACTCCCTATCGTCTCACTCCTTATAAGCAGAAGCAAGAAAATTCATTTGGCTCGAGTAAATGCTTACGAAGTTTGTTATTGAGAATAGAACGCTAAAAAACACCGAAATGGCTACACTGTCCCCATTTATAATTGTGAAATATAAACTTTGTTCAATTCGACTTTAGCATAATATCAACTTTAAGAACTATTCTTAAAAGCAATAAAACTGACCAGTGGAGTAACTGGACAATTCTAATGGTGCTAAGTCTAAACTTTTCCCACAAACAAGAATGTTCACTATAGCAAACGAGCGTGGCCACAATTCATTTTGCAAGCAAAAGTGGTGATTGTCTTATAAGTTTTTTTGTAGCGTATGCATTTTAATCGTTTATTTACAAATTATCATCAAATCCATGGAAATATCGTAACTATAACTCCAAAATTATGTTTTTCGTTTATTCTGCGTTTTTTAAACATTTTATATTAACCAAAGAGTCGGGAATTTGGGAAGAATTGAAAAAAAAAAAACAAAGCAGAGGCAGTTGTAACTAAAAACTTTCGGTGAAAACTTTGTTGGGTATTACAATTGTCACTTATTGGTTAAACAGTTTTCTCCATGTCCCTTCATTTAAAAATGGTTTTTCAAGCTCCTTCAGTGCAATAGACGAAACATGTTCCTGATTGATGGCGATACATGCAAGGTTGGATATTTGATTTTCCCTCATTGTGCTACGCAAAAAGGTTTTTGACACGTTTTGAGCAGCTTAATGAACTTTCTTCGTGTGGGAAAAAAAAGGTAATGTTAAAATATATCTTAGCAACGTTGTGATGCTTTGAAATTGAACTGTTAAGTTATTCTGCATCAAAATAGATAAAAGATCTCCTACATCACGTGGAACTGCTTGTATTCATCAGACTCCCTTTAATCTTTTGTATTTAAAACAAAAGCCATAGGAAAACAATTCCTAGTTAGGGTAAGGAGTAGTGTTAAGGTTCGGTTCTGACATTAAAAGTTAAAGTATTTTACTGCTGAGCATTTAGTATATTGAATTTCCTTCCGTATATTTATTAATTACTGAACACTTTCATCATTTGTGACTACTGTTCTATTTACACTACTAGGTGCAGGTTAAAGGGGTTATATCACGAATTTTAGATTTTATTGAAAATTTGGATTATTTGAAGAACTATGACATGTCGCTGGACTTAAACAGATAAATATAAGTTCCTTAATTTTGCCTCCAAAGTTGGGTACTTTTGCGAATTTTGACGCCATATTGATACTTGGACGTAGATAGTTGAGCACGTCTGTTTCCGTCAATATAATATTATATTATAGGAGGTGATTTTGTTGTCGTTTTCTTGTGTTAAAACAAATAATGACAGTATTTTCAATAAAATATTAAAACAAGTTGTCCGGAGAGTATGGCTTCAAATCAGTGCTCAGATAATTCGAATTCGATGTCTGAATGCGTATCTGATTCGAGCTCGGAATCCGTGGGTTATGTCGAGCATTTAAACGACTTCGCATATGACGATGAACCGCTCGCAGGAGATGGTGATGAAGTGCATACTCAGATGATCCCGATGGAATTCTCCCCGACCTTAGAACAACGAAGTGATGGCGTAATTCCACTCGGTGATGGTAAGTTGCTGTCTTCCTGTTTGTAATATACATAAAGTTACTTTATAAACCACAATGCTCCCACATTTCAAGTGTATGGTATCAATGCCTCATGTGATTTGTAGAAGGCGCATTAAATTACAGATGCTGTAGGGAAATAGGACCAGCTTTCAGAAATGACATTCGATGGCAGCATTGAGAAAATATGCATTGCCAGCTTTTAGGGTGGGCCTTTAGTTCATGAGGCTGTCCTTGAAATGTCGTGCCACTATTGAGAGATAGGAATGGACGTGCTTATCGCCGCTAAAAGGTTGTGAAATTGTGTTCATGTATAGAGTTGTGACTATAGTATGACATACAACCTTGTACTATTCTATTTCCACATTAGCTGAGTATTTTAAGTTACCTATTGGTATCCATTTCCCTCTGGGATCTGCCATAGGCACGATAGGAATAATGCATCAGGGTGGTTATCATGCTATTAGCCATGTGTCTCACAGTAGATTTCCATTTAGCAATGAAAGCTCTTCAAAGCCAAGTATAGTAGTTTAAGCACTCAATACAAATGTCAGCGATACCACCCAACCACTCATTGATTCTTCACCTTTCTCTTTGCCATCTTAAGTTGTTGCAATACTTTTATTTGCATGCCAGATATCATTAAAAGTGCTTTGTTTCTTTTTCGTTTCGGATCCACTTTTATTCCTTTGTGCCTGTCCATGATGAAACATCCATGGTAAGCCAGTTTCTCAAGAAACGAAAGATCTTTTGCTCCTCCAGTTCCATGGCATTACTGCTACCAACCATTGGCCTGTTTAAAATCAAAATGCTTCCATCATTGAAGTAAAAAACACACAAAACAATGATTTTCATCATTTCGATAATACCTGAAACAATTCAAAATGAACCAGCTTTGATGTTGTGTTGCTCCAAATTGTATGACTCCATGCTGGCACCGCATAATACCCCATAGAATCCAGACGTCAAATCTGTGGGCGTACATTCATGCTGATTAACACAACTGATAAGGCTTTCCCAGTAGCTGGAATAGGCTGAAACAAGAGGTGCGTTGATGCACATAGAAATTATGGACACATATTTGCTGAGAGATTCATGTGGTTGAACATCAGCATGGCTTGACTTATACTGACCCAGACATCAATATACAAAACTAGTCATGCTGTTTCCAGCTGGATATCTTCCCAAAACCATAGGTTGGCCTCCCATAAAGTTCTTTTCAACACATTTACCAAATTTTGCTCTACAGGCCATCATCAACCGATATTTTAATGTGTGCTTTGGATTTTCAGCCTTGCAGTTAAAGCAAAATTTTTCAAACAACTCAACCATGAGATGTAAAATAATCATGAACATAGGTTGTTCATGCGAGCTTACTCCTTCATCAATTCTGGCGATTAAGAAAATTCATTATTATGAAATACAACAGAGATCTAATTCTTTATAAGATAAAATACTTAACTGTATTACTTGTGGTATCTTCATCTAAATCTTCACTCTGACTAGACTCTTCGAAAGGAGTAGTCCATGTATGATTCTTCTTCGAAAAGCTCTTCAGCACTCCCCTGCATTTCATCGCCTACATATCAATGCGGTAGCACGGATGTATTACGATTTTCCTGATTTCGCGTCGATATTCATTTTGCAACTTCTGGGCCTTTCTTCAAAGATGCTTTGTTTTTATACCAGCTTAAAGTCTTTTGTAAAGATGTAAGTGTTTTCTTAAGACGATGGCACGATTTATATGGAGACTGGGATTCACAAATATCTTCACCAACTGCATGTAGTTCTTCTTCAAATGGCGAATCGTTTTAGTTCCCAGTGCATACTTCAACATGCTCAGCTCCATCACTAGTAGATGGTACTTCCTCATCGAGAGAACATGTTTCCTTCAGCGATGGCTTATGGAGTATGTCGAATAATCTACAAAACATATATCAGATTTACATATGACAAAGAAAATTAACATAAACAAGCGTAAACTTACTTGTCTGCGCTTTCGATCGGTTATTTCGTCCTGTAATGGTTCAGGAATCCCAGCCACGTCAATGGTTGGGATAGCATCTTTCTTCAACCTTCTTTTGAGCTTGACTTGCACTCAAATTAAAGTCAAACAAGAATCTTCAATGCGCAGAACACAGACACGAGGTAGAGAAGCCTCAAAACCCGGTCTATGTTTACGCACAAAATTACCCATTTTCTATGTCTTTTGCGGCTCTGTTTCTTTATTAGAAACAGATGCATCGACATTCCTTCTGTTTTTGAATCATTGGCGCAACTAATTTGATTAGGTCCGCCAGCAACACAGCGTTTTCCTCCGCGTTTCTTATTAAGATTACTAGTAGAATACGCCATGTTGATATATGTGTTCAACTATTACGTCACAACTCATTAGCATACCGATCAAAAAGTTCGCAAAAAAAATGCTGAAAATCGTGACTTTGAACGTCCATAAAATCACTTTCACCAATCCAATTTCAATTATAATTGCAGATTTAAAATCACTGAAATAAGGTCTTTCAATTTAGCTAATAAAAAAGGGGGGCTAAAATTCGTGATATAACCCCTTTAATGAAAGACGTACAACGTGAAATTTAAACACATTAACGTAACTATATATTGAGAAAGGCATAACTTCCGAAATGTGTCACAGTTTGACAGAAAATCTGGTCTGATTTCTGCAATCTTCATACACATGACATTAAAATCATTAATTTTGGGGTGCTTGCATCAATAATGATCATTTAAAATTCCGACAACCATCCAAAATTTTCCGACAGACATATATCCAAGTGTGTGGTGAGGCGGCTACTGCCCCACCCCCCACCACCCCTTTGGTTACGCCACTGAAACTGAGTAATGTCTGAATAGTTTCATATGATTCTAAACCTCATACAATAATTGTTAATTAAAAGTAGCTTTTGTAACATAACCTGACAGGTTGAGGAGAGAGTTGCTTTTAACAAAAGTAATGAATTTTATCAGTTGGTTTTTTAAAGGAGCTGCACTTTTTACATCCAAGGCTTTTCTTCCTCTCAAAATCAATAAACTCACTTTCCTTTTCTCATCGCAAGCAAAGCAATACGGTAGGTAAACATCATGAAAATAGCCATTTGTACTCACCTTTGTAACATTATCGATAAGTCCTTGTAAAAAAGAAAACAGTATAAAGTACCCAAAATGTTTTACATCCGATTGCATGACACGATAAAGAGCAATGGGTATCACGTGATTAAAATACACCAAAATATATGATCGTGAAGGATTAACGTCGATGATATTTTTAAGAGGAACAAGCACTATGTATTTACTTATGGCCACTGGAAGTGTTGCTATTAAAGAAACCATGGCAGCAACCAAGATTTTTAAAAAATCACTTGACTGATTATTAAACCAGGGGACAAAAAGTTCTGCATAAACAAAAGCGAACAGTGCAGCAAAACAGAAAATCAGTCCAATTGTTAACAACATTTTTTTCCGACGATTCCAAATTTTATTAACTTCTGGCGATGCCTGATATGATGCAATGCGACAACAACTAATGATGATGCCAATTAACATTATACCAGCTGAAATTGATCTTTTCCACCATCCAGTAATATCACCATCAAAGATTATGTACAAGCATACCTTGTAAATCACAGCAATAATACCCGTGATAACACAAATAACAAGATTGCTTATATGAATGTTTTTAGCTTTTTTCCATCCCAACAGCAACACCATAGTGAAAGGAAACCATAAATTAAGGAAGAATGCTTCGAATGATTCTCCTGCTGCTCGTGCTGAAAGAACAGAAGTTGGTGCGGAAAAATTGGTTAAAAGGTGTTCAGTACCTGCACATCGGTCGGTTGTAAGCTGGTCCAAATACACAATTTGTCCACAAATCACAGTGATTAAGACGGCAAAGGCGAGTAAACAACTAGTTGCTTCAACAGATGTGCCGAATATAATTAGACATTTTTTAAATTTTGATGATGCGGTTTCATCATTGCAATTTGATTTAGTGTTTTCATCGTTAGAATCCAATGTAGCATTCCCTATATTGGAGTATGATGTGGTGTTCGTATTTTCATTATCACTTTTACAACAAACACAACAATCAGCTATCCAAGAACATAAAGGCAGGACCCAAGAGTGTATTAACTGCTCCAATATCATTTTTGTCGATGATTTTCCAGCAAACGTTTTCCTTGAGCTACTTGGCAACACAAGAGTGTTATAGGCGATAACTAGAGCATCCTTTTGACATCTCAATTGCTATGGTTACACATATTGTTTTCAACAGATGACCTTGTTGTTGAGGGTTTTAAAATAGCTTCTGTTGGCGAAATTTGATAACTTACTCTAACTTCGGCTTGTATAGCTCTCTTTACCGATCATTTTTTAGTTTAAATTTTGGGTATTTTGTAAGATAAATAATCTTCTTACAATCGTATGTTTTTTGTTTTGAAGAAAATGGGATAACTTAGCGTCAATCATGCCGTCCCGGAAGGCATCGAATTACAAACGATTCAATGTTGGGCAATACATGCGCAACAAAAGATTGACTACTGTGAAAGCTCATTTGCAATTATTGGTCGCAATGCGTTTATCAAAAAAATATTTGGACTATGATCATATAAGCCCATTCTATAACGAGCATAAGCCAGGACAAAAACACCACAGCTAATGGCATCATTCTGCATTGAAAATTTGTCTTCCCAATGCGCCGAGAATTCCGACACGAAATTTTTGTTTGCTATTTCGACACATTGACCTCTCATTCGGTAAAGTTCTTTGAAGTAAAATTTTATATTATCTACCAATGTTAGATATTGACTGCCTCTTGCCATTGGGTCGTACAAATAAATGCAACATTCAACAGTGTTGATTATTGCCATACACCAGTGACTACCTTTTCCAACATTTATAGGAATTGCAATCACGTCGTAAAGATGAAACAAAACACCTTGGTAGTGCCTCCTTAACATTTCATGAAAGCGCTCTTTATTATTCGGCTGGCGTACGGATCGAAGTTTTGTCATGAATTGCGTCGTGAATGCAAAACTACGCTATCCAAACTTTTCCGTGTTTTTTGTTAGCAATAGAAGGTAACAATTTATAATCTCATCATTGAGCCATCCAGGTTTGGAAAGAACATATGTATCGTTTGAAAAACCCTTTTCCAAAGGTTAAAGAGTTTTGATATCTTTTCCCAGAAGATTGTATCCGTGTGTTTCGAATGAAGCAACACGTTCATTTCTTACATTGAGATCACAAAGTGAGTAAAATACCTTACACATTTCCATATGTTTTTGTGCACTTGATGGAGGCAAACTATCGACCTTTGATTGGACATCTCTGCTATTCGTTTGTGCGGTTCGCGCACTTATGCTATGAACAGAGCCTATAAAATTTGATGAGCTTGTACTTCGGGGTATGTCCTCATTGTCACTATCATCGCTGAGTTGGGTTGACGAATGTCGCTCGTTTTCATAATCTTTGTCAGTAAAATTTTCAGCGGAGTAAAAGGCTATGTATGCATAAGTTGACACTTTTTGCTTCCATTTTTTTGATATATCAGAGACGAATGTATCGTCGACCTCATAAACTCTTCCATCTTTGAATATTAGAGCTGTGTCATGGCCCACATAATACCTGAGCCGTAATGCAATGCACATGAGGATAATTGATAAGCGGCCGATGCACCATCATTCTGCAATGTTAATTTTAATGGTAGTGGAACTCTCTGACAACTCTTCGTAACTCCTGATCCATTTGAAACAAATCTTTTGAAACCAAGGCATAAAATTTTAGGCAGTGTTTTGAGTTCACCTATGCGAACGTGACTCGTCCTCACACTGCATGTGCTACAGTCTGTAAATACAGAATCGACTAAACTCTCTTTGATTTTTTCTGTAAAGGTTTTGTTGGCATTGTCAACGGAAGCAAAAAGCGTCGTGAAGGTTTCCTCATCATGCAATCGAGATTTTCCACATACACCACAAATTTTTCTATATTTGTACGTTCCTCTAAAGGAACCTGCGTCACAATGTTCATGCAAAACTATAAAACTCCCGTGAATATCATGTTGTTGGCCACTCGCATAACCAAAATACATATGAAAAATGTCGTGCAGCTGTTGCGGATACAATGGTTTGTCATTCGTGTTTTTTGATATTCGCAAGATTTTATTCAGTACTTTCGCTACAGTTGGATAACATTTTGTCGTTGTTTCGGGGTATTCAACTTTTAATGCATGCAAACATTGCAGAAGACTGTTCAACCAGCAATCGTTACCCTTGTTGATTAAACCTCTTGTAATTTCTTTTCTTAGCAAAGACACGTGCATCTTGTGCGACGCACCAATGGATTTGCTTGATTTCGTACGCTCGCTGTCTTTACTTGTATCCTTGAAGCGGAACTTGTCCTCTGCTGACATATCTAGCCATAATTTTGCTACCTCTTTTGTTAAAAACGCGTTAGGGCGATTTTTAGAAGCTCTCTTTTTCTTACTACCTTTATGAAAAGAATTTAAGAATGATGACGGCGTCTACTCTGTGTACATTTATTGAATTCTGAAGTTTCGCTTAACAGAATTGACGGTGACTGCTCCAATTGTCCAACTTTAGCATTAGTTTTTGGTGTCAATGGATTCTTTTTCCCCCATGTTTCACTGACTTGTGAAGAATCATCATCTTCATCATCTGAAGTGTCATCTGAACTTACGATAGTATTGCTTTCGCTTCTTTTTCTATTTTCTTTTATATCGATTTCTTGTGCAGATGTTTTGTCCAATGTTTGCGTCTGAAAATTTTTCGAAGAATTTATTGGACGTCGTTGTTTTCTGGTAGGTTTATTAGCAGTTAGGCTATCCGAGAAATCTGTCATTCATCGCCTAATTCTGTCATAATTTTCCAAAACAAATGCATCAGGACGCAGTCTTTTTTTCTTTGGAAAATCTTCTTGTTTTAAGTTTCACATGATACCTTCCACATAGCCCTCTATTTTTGAGTTTTCTGATTTAAATGTAAGGTGCGGATAGTCGTGTAAAGTTTCGTAAACTCGATCGTTCTCCTCTATGTATCGGTCTAATGAACCTAAAAGTACACCAGACCACAATGGCATCTCACAAAGATAAGATTCTATGAATGCAAAAAATTCTGGTGCGTAGCATCTATTATTTGGCTTGCTATGTTTTGCATCTTCCATCGCTCTTTCTTTGACATTTCGTAGCAAGCTATCGTAATGGTTTTTGAATGGATTTTGAGTTGTATTTCTGTCTGTTTCAGTACGATCGGCATCATCATTGCCTGCATTTGAAAAGACTCCATGCACTTCAACATGTTCAAGGATTTGTTATCGTTCCTCCATTGCATGGATCGATTTCCATAAGGTGCTGAACGCGTTTTAGACTTCATCATTTTGAGTCTTATGAAGCAAGCAAATTGCAACAGGTAGAAGAATATAGTCAAATTCTTCTTGGGTTCTAGAGGTTACCAACAGCGACACACAATACATGTTAACGCGATACCACACCTCGTTGCTGTACTGACTTTGATACGCATAATTGATTTCAAACGCCTGTGAATTATGTTCATGAAATGACTGCAGCCAACATGTAAAACCATAAATGCAAAATCTTCGTTGAATGCCATCCTCTGCACAATCCTGAATGCTCGAAGTAAAAACTGAGCAAGGGTTTTTCCGTTGAACTCTTTCAGAGCAGCCTATATCAACGCCTTTGAGTAATCTATATTTAACTGACGAGGTAATCGAACGTTTCATTCGAAAACGTTTGCCTCATCTCGACGAAACCTCTCAATAAAGGAACGTATGCTGGGAGCACCGTGATCGTTCGTTATCATTTCGGCAATTGGCAATGATGGATTTCTTTTTTTGGGTGTCGAACAATAATTGCATAATAAAGTACTCTTTTGCCCATGAAATCTTGCACAATCGTTCCGGTTGCGTCCATGTATGCAATATCTTTCATGCATAAGTAATGCCAAAGACGCACCGGATATTCATTCCACATATATACCCAAGGTAGATAAAATGAAATTGCTTGAACAAATCCTTCAATCTGTTTGGGAGGCATCTCGCGCTGTTTTTCTCGCTGAATTAAATCATCCCTAGCCATCTTCAAGGAAGTCATGACGTCTTTGTCCAGCTGAGTTTGTTGTCTTCCTTCACTGGCAATTTTTCTCACAGTCTCTGGAATTTTACCACATTCATTTCTATTTCCAGCTGCCTTTGCATTTACCGATAATCCCTCTTTGATTTCTTGGTACACTTTTGAAGGTTGGCCAGGTCCTTTGTGAAATTGATTTGCCAGTTGCTTACGTTTGTCACTCTTTATGAACCTAGACTGGCGCTCTCCAGCAGCGTGTTTCACAGATCCGTCATAAGTTACGGTAACTTTCTTGGAAAGAAAGTCTTTGCAAAAGATTTGCAATACAAACTTGCAGGAACAATCGGCAAAGATGCAGTGACCTGTAGCATTAAACACAATCGGCGTATTTGAAATGCCTTTCGAATTGGAAGGTGCAGTAGGCGTTGGATTTTTTCATGTGATCCATCATGATATCCGTCCATGGACACCGAAGAGTGTTTGTTTTTTCCGTGGTAGGTCTGATCCTTGACCACTCTGCTTCACTCAAAAAAAATGTTGCAGACCTACAAACATCGGCTATAAAGAATGTATTTGGTCGTGGCAAATATGGGTAGTCCATCATTCTCTGGAAAGTTTCGTGCTCATCAAAGCAATAGGTTGATGTGTGGCAATTATTAATTGGGGTAATATTAGCATATGTTTTGACAACGTTCTTTTCCTTGGAAGACATCTCATACGATTCAACATCTGGAAGGGTGAAGATGTTGCATTAGTACAGATATTATCCATATTAGCTTCGTCTTCTGATTTTTTTATCGGCTCCTATCCCTCGCTAGAATCACTTTGACAAGTAGAAGGTCTTTTAACAACATTGTCAAGTTTTTCAAAAAATGCTGAGGGAGATGATACTTTTTCATCATTACAATCATCGCGCCATTTGCTTGAGAAATTATAGGAATGACATTTTTGAAATTCTTCAGAGTGATAAATGACTTTCTCAATCGCCGGACTACTTTCCATGCCGTAAGATACACGATCTGCAGTACATATATCTTCATCTTTTTCATCAACGCACGGTGAAGAAGAATGTAAGAGTTCACTGTTATCGACCACGTCTTCAATTTCTCCATGTGACT